GCATGGTGATATTTGAAGGGTATGAGTACCTTGCATAACTATATTAGGTTCCATCATAGCTTTTGTTATTATATGCTGTCAAGTTGGACCCAACTCATAGAGACCCCTCCTTGGGTGAGGTAGTATAACTACGGAAGTAGATTGTCCAACCTTCCTTCTGAGGAGTGGCTGGTGGGTTTGAACCACCAGCCTTCTGGTTAGCAGTCAAATGCCTTAGGCACCACGCTACCAGAGCACTGGAGAGCAAAACAGCAAGCAAGTCTTATATACCTTTGAGGCTGTGGATTCTCTTGCCTGTTTCTGGTGAATGTCAAGTCAACTTTGAATCAACTCTGTGTGTGTCAGAATAGAACTGCGTGTCATAGGGTTTTCAGTAGTTGATTTTTGAGAACTAGTTCACCCATCCTTTCTTCTAATGCACTTCTGGGTTGACTCCAACCTCCAACCTTTCAGTTAGCAGACAAGCATGTTAACTGCACATCCAGGACTCCTTGGTAAGCAAAGGACATTCCTTTTAACCCAGAACAAGGGTTTCTCAGCCCCCAGGCACAGACCTTACATTTCTCCCAAGCCATAGACCAGGAAGCTTCCCTGGTGCCTTGTTTCCCTAAACCACACATGGCCCAGAGACTGTTAGACACCAAGGAGCAGAATGGCAAAACAGAGGCAGAGCCAGGGAGGTAGGTAGAGCCCAATCTGGCCTGTACACAAAGGGTCCACTATGTGGATAGCGGGCAGTATCCAAATTGTATTTACTCAGCATGGCAACCATGTGGGAGAAGTTCCATGCTGTCCAGACATAGGGGCTCCTCAGTTCCCAGAAGAAAGTCCCATAGAAATGGAAAATAAACACCAGACGTGATTTTCTTCTGGCCTCGGCAAAGTCAAACCACAGGAGTGGTTTCCAAAGCTGGCTAGCAGAGCCAGGCTAGGACAGAGGGGGCTTGGTAAGCAAGATCTGGACCCAGGAAGATGGAGGAGAGGTCTGCAACCTGATCTGTAAAGAGAAGTGTGAACTAAGAAGGACCCAAAGACAGATGAGTCCAGAAACCAGATTGAAGACTAGGAGATTAGACCAGGAAGAAAGCTGAGGTCAAAGCTGTGACTGGGACCCAGACTGGGTGCAGGCTGAGAAGGGCCCTGTAATTGGGTGTGATGTGAAGGATGAGTTAAAGGTGCCAGTGAGCTTGGGAGCGGGTTCCCAGGCCCTGACAATGGCAGACAACATTGGATGAAGAGGGAAGAACCCACCCTTAGATGAGCACCTTTTACCATCTACCTCTTTGATGGCAAGTTCTATGCTAAGAACCTCATGGAGATCTGCAGTGGCAAGAGAGAACATTTGGTTCCAGGAAGATTGAGGGGTCCCAGGAATGTCTGGGAGTAGTTGGGGATATTAAAGTCCTTCTCAGAATTAAGAACACAGTCAAGGAGGGAACATGGCCTTACCAAGGCAGCCTCAGGGCCAAGAAAGAGCTGCTGAGGAAGGGTCCATGTGTATCACTGGCCTGGGTCTGAGGTGGCACCATCTTGAACCCTCTGGAGGAGCTTGGTAGTTGTACGTGCTGGTCCAGGAGAACTGTAAAGCAGAAATTGGGAACTGTAAAGCAAAGCCTCAAACAGGCTGAACCCCTGGCCACTGTTCATCCCGATGACCATGCTTCTTCCACTGTACCTGTGCAACCCAATGGCTAATAATCATTTCAATATTTATATAGCACCATATAGTTTTCAAAACATTTCCACACGTTATGGTATTGAATTGATGTCCATTGCTGGATTATCAGGAGTTGGAATCAAGTGTTTTGCAGATTAGCCCCTGATCTACTTCTGCTGTGTGACTCTGGCTAAGTTACTTGCCTTCGCTGGGCTTCAGTGTGCCCAACTGGTAAAAGGTGATAATTATAGTCAGTCCTTCACAACACAGGATGAGAAATGTCTGGAGAAAGGCTGGTGGCAAGTGAGTTTGCCAGGCTTAAACAAACTCTGGAGTCCTTAGATGTTCTACAGAAAACTCATTCACTGGGCTCCAGGAAAACATACTCAGGCGTATTGTAATCTCTCCTTCAACCCAGCTTTTAAGCCCTAAATGCTTCCAGAAGCCTCACAGTTCTCTCTCTCTCCTGAGGCTCTTGCCAAGCCCAGTTTTGAGACAGGGAAGTCAGGGAGGAGTTTTTGATTCCTGTACAGCTCTATTTTTAACTGGAATGTAACTTTCTACATGACCAGTGATTGGCGCCTTTGAAGCCAAGGTAAAGCGCGCTGTCAGCAAGATCCGAGCAATAAATAGCAATGGATAGACAGGCAGATCCGTTATGTGGGCAGGAAGTTAGACAGATGGACAAACCGATCAGCTCAGTGTCTGCCAAAGGCGGCTCAATTAATCCACACCATCCCTAAAGTCTCCCCCTTTTTCTACAAGGACAAGGTGTTCATCTTTGATCACTCTTAATGTGGCAAATGTGAAAGTCAAAGCGGTGTGAATGCTGGGAGTTCTGCCTAGGGTCAGATGCTACTTAATCAGGATAGGGCATCTGACTCCCTGGCTTTCCCCCAGCGTGGTGGGGAAAGCTGGCATTTTGAGTAGAGGTGAATCCTTTTACATCTTTGTGTGAAATCAACATTTGGTGGTTAAGCTAGGAAAGGTGATGGAACTGAATTACAGCAGGAAATAGGAAAGAGGGACTTGTCTCTCCTTCAAGAACAGCCTGTTCCCAGATCCCATTTGTAGTCCATGGCCCCATCAATTCTTCCTTATCTCTAAAAAAGCCTTCTTCATAAAGCTTTGCTTCCGTTAATTAACTTCATGGGCAGAGGCAGAGGGTGTCTGCCGCTCCCCTGCTCCAAGGGGAACCAATGACATTTATTGCAGAGGGAGCAGATAAATAAGAAAACTTGGAGATACTTTTAGCACAATGAAGAGGGCCTAGGAACACAGAGAGAGAGAGAGAGAGGGAGAGGGAGAGGGAGAGTGATGTGTAGGGATCTCATGTCTTGTGTTTGTAGCCAAGAGCCCCATGGAAAGGCAGAGATAGACCCTCTCTCAAGCAAACTGCTGCCCAAATCCTCCCAGTTTCAGAGTAGACATGAGAAGGGGAAGTGGTAGAGGGATATTGCAGTCTGTGTAAGAAATGCCCTCATCATGGTGACAAAAAACAAATAGCTAACATCTCCGGGACTGGACATTAAAAAAAAAAAAAAAATTAAAACCAGGTGATTATGTAGGTCACCATGTGTAACAAGAATTGAGAGGGCCGTGTCCAACCCTTTCTGAGCCGTCCTCTGAAGCTTGGTGACAAATAGCACATGGGAGTGTCCATGGAGCCTGGCAATACCTCCTCTCCACACTGGTCACAGTGAACCGATGGCCTGAATTGGAGGCAGAGCAGGGGCATGGACATCAGGTGGGACAGACCTAACTTTCACATTTGTCTTTCAGCAAAAAAGGACTAGAAGGGAAATGTGGCCCACCTTTCTCAGTGTGGATTCTATGGAAATAGGCAAATAATTAACCTAAGCCATCAGAGTAGCTCTGGTGGCACAGTGGTTAAAACACTGGGCTGCTAACCAAAAGGTTGGTAGTTTAAACCCATGGGAGAAAGATGACTCAGTCTGTGTCTATAAAGATCTCTGTCCTATAGGGTTGCTGTGAGTTGGAATTGACTCAATTTGATTGGGTTTAGGTTAAGTCATCAGAAAGCCCCATCTAGTATTAATAACAACACTTATAAAATGCTTACAGTGCACAAAAAAAACCACCAACTCACTGCCGTTGAATCTCTTCAACTCATAGCGACCCCTCCTTGGCTTTCCGAGGTGGTATCTCTACAGAAGTAGATTGCTCAATCTTCCTTCCAAGGAGTAGCTGGTGGGTTTGAACTGCCAACCTTCTGGTTAGCAGTCAAATTCCTTAGGCTTTATGCCACCAGAGCTCCCTATAGTGCACCAGGTTTACTAAATGCAGTAAATTATTTAATCTACATGACAACCTTTTGAGTGATGTGCTACTGTTAGCCCTGTCAAGATGCAGAAATGTTAAGTAATTTTCTGAAGATTTTGAACTTGGAGCAAGTTAGTGGTTGAAGTCTGGCTCTTTTCCACTATGCTACCGCCCCTCTATTATTTATTTATTTATTTGACAAATATTTACTGAATGCATCTTCTCCTGAGGCACTCAGTTAAGTAGGAGACAAGACACATACATAGAACATGTTGAAAGTTCAATAAAGGCCACTTGATCATCCCACCTCATACAATTGAAAGGCCTCTCCAGATGCATTTTACCAGCCCCCATTTTTCAAAGCCTCATCTGAACAAAAGAAAGTGACTCCTACCCTGTCTCCAAGATATCTCTTTTCAGGTGGGGTCTCTGAGGACTAAGGAACTCAGGGGCTTGTATGGCATCCAGATCTCTGGCACTCCTCCAGAACAGGACCAAGTTTTATTCCTCTGCAGACACCCACTGCCATGCTCAGGGTCAAGCTTACTAGAAATAGTCACTAAATGTGACTGGCTGAAGTCATATATATATATATATATATATATATATATATATACACATACATACACACACATACATATATATATATATACACATACATACATACATACATACACTCTGGTGGTATAGTGCCTAAGGCACTTGACTGCTTACCAGAAGGCTGGCAGTTCAAACCCACCAGCCACTCCTCAGAAAGAAGGTTGGCAATCTACTTCCATAGTGATACTCCCTCGGAAACCCAAGGAGGGGTCACTATGAGTCGGATCCAACTCAACAGCAGTGAGTTATGTATATATATATATATATATATATACACATATATCCTTTAATGCAGGAGCCAGTTGCAAAATGCTATTGAAATACCTCATTGTCACATCATTCTTGTTGGTGGCCACATAAGTGCCTTGCATGGCACCCAATACCCGATACTTAAAACATCCAGACTCGGAGGACACATTTGTTGATTAACTTTGCTTCTTTCTCCTCCTTGGTTTGCCAGGAAAGACCCGCAGAGACCAATGCCAATGTGGACAACTCCGCACCACCATCAGTGGCTCAGCTGGCGGGGAGGTTTAGGGAGCAGGCAGCTGCAGCCAAGGAGGTGAGTCAGGGGGCCCTGGAACCCCTCTTCTGGGTGGGTGGCTGGAGGAAGGGGAAATCTGGGTCAGGCCTGAGGAGAGAAAGGAGGAAACTTGATAATTGCCAAATTAGGAAGAGAAGCCAGAGAGGGTCCCTTTGAATGCAAGAAATGTTGCTACTGCCTCTGTGCCTGGTGCAGAATCTTTCTCCACCATGGTGAGGCTCATGCTCTGGTGAGGAGGGATGAGAGACAGGGCAGAAAGTGAAAAGCCCTCCCTGCTGGAGATGGGAATCCAAATTCATCATTTCATTATTGTTATAAACATACATATACTAAATAATACAACATTTGTCAATTCCCTTTTTTTTTACATGTACAATTTAGTGATATCAATTATATTATGAATTCATTTTAAGACAAAGGTCTGCTTCATCTTCATCTTGATCAGCCACTGATGCAGTCTTAAATCTCACACCACTGTGCCAGCCCAGGGTGGGTTCAGAATGAAGAGGTTCCCCACAAACAGAACTCATATTTTTCAAAAGTCCAGACTTACTGTACCAACTGAAACTGGAGGACTCCCCAAGACTATTGCCCTGAGATACTCTTTAAATCTTGAACCAAAACTATCCCCTGAGGTCACTCTTTAGCTAAATAACAGATTGAGTCATAAAGTAAAGAATATCACCCGTGGGTACTGTACTCCTTTAAAAAATCATCTGTCTGAGACCAAATGGTCACCAATTAATCTATAGCAAAGATGGAAAGGTAAAGGGGCAGGAAAACTAGATGACTGTAAACGCAACAACCAGAATGGAATTAACAAGAAGGTAGGCACATTGCAAAAAATGTAACTAATGTCACTGAACAATCTGTGTAGAAATTGTCAAATCGGGACTTAATTTTCTGTGTAAATTTTTACCAAAAACACAATAAAACATTAAAAAAAAAAAAAAAGAGGTCCCACACTGATTCTGCCCCCCAGCCTAAGGATCAGGAGCAGGGCAAGGCTGGGGCAGGCTCTGAGCTGAGACTTAAGAGGAAGAAAGGACTAGCAGGGAAGTACAATCAGAAAGGAGCCAGGGGTCAGGAAGGAAAGGGATCCAGGGACCAATGGAGTCTCGAAAAATCCTGCTGGAGAGGAAAGTGCCACAAGGAAGATGTGTCTAAACTTTGGGGAGACTTGGGCTAGATTTTCATATAGTATGAGGAGCTCATTAGAAGTGAGATGAGGGAAGGGTGCCCCTTGGGGCAAAGGAGAATACAGTTGGCATTCTCTCTCTTAGTCAGGTGCCATGGTTTTGTGTTTTTGTTTTCACATCTGAAAAATTGGATCCATAATTTCTAGACATTATAGGAATGTCATAAAGGGTGAAGAAGGTAGTGTCGATTTCAGTCTTTTTTTTAAAGGCACTGCCTGAAGCCTGGACATGTATGAATTGTGAGATGTTGTTGCAGGTCAGTGAGTCTCAAATTGAAGGGGATGCTCTAGCAAGAAAAGTAGAGGAGGGGGGAGGGAAGTTTGAAAGTCCAAATGGGTAGATGGTTAAATAAAGTTAATTCATATAATCATTGAGCAGCCCCAACAACATGCAGTCCCCTTCCTACCTTCTTCTCCACCAGACCTCCCTAAACATTCCTAAAAATAGTTTTCACCTCCTCCTTCTTCCTCCCTGTGCCTGACTAGCTCTCTCTCTTTCTCTCTGTATGTCTGTCTGTCACGTTCCCTCTAGACACCAGCTAGTAAACCAACAAGAAGGAAACCACCCTGCTCCCTCCCCCTGTTCCCCCCCAAGGCAGAGCTGGGCCAGAATGGTGAGGAGGTAAGTGCTGCTGCTGGGCTCACAAGATGCTGCCTGTGGGCTTCCTTTCTCCTTGTAGGAAGAGGCACAAGAGTCACACCTTGGGACCTCAAAGCTGTGCAAGGAACTTCTTCATTTGATTCAGAGATGAAGCTCCCCTTCTTAGTGCTTCCTGAACACTTTACTTTGAAAATTAGACTCTTTCCTACTCCCTGTAACCAAGCCACCTTTATGATTTGTCAAGGATGGGGGCACTGTTTTTTAAGACAGAGAATTTTCAGCAAAGAGAATGGGCCCTATGTTACTGGCATGCTGGATCCAAGTTATGTTTTCTTTCCAGGGCTGACTTACATGATCTTGGAATGGGTTTTACCCTTTCCATGTGGAGAACGTACCTGGAAAGAGGGCTGACACTTGTGTAAGGCAGAATGCTCATGGCAGAGAATCCCATGGTTCTGTGGTACCCTTGTAAAGGCTGGCTATTGTTCTGGATCACTGGAGGAAAACCAGAGCACACAGGAGGCCTCATTGCCCTCAGATATAAATAGCTAATGTTTCCAACATAATGAGGGCTCTGGGATCATAGATCATAGCCAGTAATAGATTCCCTGCCTGCATATTCACCTATCCTTACTTATCTAAGTGTAGCTGTAAGAGTGACTTCTTCCACTTCTTCTGCCCTATCTAAGCAGCCCATGAAATTTCACTGTGGTCATCAACCCTCCTAGAAATGAGGTCTAGGCCAGCCTAGGTGGTCTAGGCCAAAGTCAAGCAATCAAGCCAAGGACATTTCAGTTCCCAAATTCCATTTCAATCACCTTTTTTATTTTCTCTTTCCTCCCTTTTTTGAGCACCACCATTCTGATAATGGACACTGGATTCCTGTGTGAACTTAGGCAGGCCTCTCAGTGCCCACATTTACTCATCTCTAAAATGAGAGGCTTGCAGCAAATTGTTTTCAAATCTTTTTTGTCAACCTAGGGTTTATAAACAGAAGCCAATCAGATGAAACAGATAACCTCAGAGCTGTTCCTGGTTGAGTGGGGAGAAATATTTTCTGCTCCGAGAATTAGAGGATGCTCCAGTCCACTGGGGAGCTCTGGTGGCATAGTGCCTAAGGCATTTGACTGATAACCAGAAGATCAATGGTTCAAACCCACCAGCCACTCCTCAGAAGAAGACTGGGCAATCTACTTCCATAAAGATTTACTGCCTGGGAAAGCCAAAGTGGGTCGCTATGAATCAGAATCAACTCCACGGCAATGAGTTTGTTTTTTTATTTTTTTTCCCCAGTCTACTGAACAAAGGTTTTATATCTGAGATAGAAACCCCAAAGAGCAAAGTTTAACACTGAGGGTTTTTTTATTAGTATCTCTTTAAGCTATAACAGTATGATTCTGTGGTTTCGTCGGTTATCAGCCCCAAATACATACCAACAACTTCTCTTTACTGGAGGTCAACATTTCCTTGTAACCTTCACCCTCTGGTCTTTGTGTCTCTGGTGCTATGCAGTAGGCTGAGACCACAGCCATGAAGGAGCCTAATAGGAGGCTGCCCCTTGATGACCTGGGCTTGACCCAGAAGTCATTGCACTATACTTATCCTGTTCCGCTATTTGTAACATGGGAACAAGAACACAAAGCAAACAGATCATGGGGGCTAGATGGGCAAGTCTTTCCTTGGAATAAAAGTGGATTTAATCAAGTAATTGGATAAAACAGCTTCTTTTCAGTGACTCTGGGGGGAAATAAATGTATGGGTTTTCATCCCACAGGTCCTACTCAGTAGTTAGAAGCACACAGTGGCTAAGTTTAGATGACTAGGAAGATGGGTTTTAGAGTAAAGTCCTGCCTGGAGTGACAAGCCGCTTGCATGAAGGACACTGCCCCCAGGGATCTCTGACTTCTCACAGCCATGAAATGGCACATAGAAATAAAATGGAAGTCCAGCCCTATTAGGACAGGCCAGTCAAGCTGCTGCCCACACGTCTCCTTCCACCCTCCCATAGCCTAGCCTGCAGGAGCCATGCCATAAACCAGGAGGGCCTGAAGGGATGGCCTTACTCAGGCCGCAACTTTGTTCCCAAAGCACAGGGAAGGGGCTTTCCATTCTTTTTTCATTCCTGTCCTCTTCATGTGCCTGCTTGAGCCTGAGAGGAAGAAATCAGCCTCTCTGGATGACTAGGGAGTTTCCCTCCCTAGAGGCCCCAACCAAAAGGGTGTGTCTTGTCTCAAAGCAAACGGAGGCACAGAGCCTGCCACTAGTTCAACGTTAAAGGAAATGGCTGCCACCTGCTGCCCTTCCCAGGAATTGGCATTAGTGTCTAGTCTGAATTTTTTCCTCCTTTGCACTCAAATGAACAAGAGTCTTGTGGAGCTTCAGCTGGGTCACCAGCACTGTCCTGGGGTTATAGGACAGTGTTTGCTGAATGCCCACTGTCTTCAGAGGACAATGGTCAGTTGGGGAAGAGGAGAGATTACAATATTACATAAAGTGAGCTTTACCAGCAAAATTGTTGCTACAGTTTCTAAAACAGTATCTTCAGAAATACTGGCCCATGTGAAATTACACCGTAAAGCACATAAATGAAGGCTAACTTGACCTGGAAGCTCTTTTTTACTCATCACTTACAGTGGGCAAAAGGCTCCTTGAAATACTGCTCTAGGGGTATGGCTCGCAGGGGGAACTTAGAGCTGCAAGAGTCCTCAGGAATCATTTACAACAGCCCTCCTGTGTTTCAGTTGAAGAGGCTGAGGCCAGGGACATCCACCTGGGTCCTGTCAAAGCCAGAATCAGAACAGGGTTTCCAGTCCCAGCCAGTGACCATCCTACTCCAGCGTCTCTCACTCAGTGTTGGCCCTAAGGAGTTAAGTTGAGTAAGTCTCTCTCCCTCCATCACTAAAATGCAGTCATCTCATTCAAGAAATATCTCAGAAGATTTCTAAGAGATTAACATTCTTCCTCTTATGATTCAGACGAATGAGGACCTGGGGAGAGGAGGGTTCTAAACTGAAAAATGAAACCCACTGCCACTGAGTTGATTCTGACTCATAGCGATTCCCATTGAGTTTCTGAGGCAGAGCTCTGGTAGCATAGTGGCTAAGACACTTGCCTGCTAACCAGACGGCTGGCGGTTCAAACCCACCAGCCACTCCTCGGAAGGAAGGTTGGGCAATCCTACTTCCGTAGTGATACTGCCTCGGAAACCCAAGGAGGGGTCGCTATGAGTCGGGGCCGACTCGACGGCACATAACAACAACAACAACAACAAATCTTTACAGAAGTAAATTGCCGTCTTCCTTCTGTGGAGTGGCTGGTGGGTTTGAACCACCAACCTTCTGGTTAGCAGGGGTTTGGGGAGGGCATAGGAAAATGCCATCCATCTTGGCCTCCATCCAACAAGAGTCATCATGGATCTTCTTCTTTTTCTTTATTTTCATTGTGATCAGCACTGTCATCATTCTTACACTGAGGACGAGTCTATTTGTGGAACTACACTCAAGTTGTGGGTATTTTGTACAACATATTAAGGATGTGATATTTTTTAGGTAGGATAAAATCCAAAGACAGACAAGGTTTTTTATATACTTAAAAATTTCTACAACTAATGCAGCATACACATGTTTTATATAATAAGTGTGTGTGTGTATAGAGAGATGTATGTATGTATCTGCATATAACAGCCCTTGATTGCTATAAAGGGCAGAAACTAAATCATATCCATCTTTATATAACCAGCAAAATACAATGCCTAGAATATAGTAGATCCTCAGTCAATGTCTGCTTAATTAAAAGAAATATCCAATGTTTCAGAAAATAATTTATAATCAATGCCTTTGGTGGGATTTCCCAAAACACCATCAGTTTGAGGGGAAATTTCAGTAATACCACTATGAAGTTTCACTCCTATACTGTGGTTTCTTGTTTTGCTTGTGACAAACAGAAAGGATGGTCATTCTGCCCTTTATTTTTGAAATTCATTCATATTGTTGGTTCACATTGTTGACAGTCATGAAATAAAGATCTTACTCCCCTCATACATAATTTGTTCCCTCATACTGACCGTGAAGTTATTCTTCCTGGGATAGAAGGCCTCCTGTGTTGCGACATCTCTCCTGACCTCTCTGGCTTACAGATTCAAGTGGTCTTCCTAATAGTAAGATGAGGGAGGGAGGAAAAGGGGAGCATGTGTCCTGATGAGGTAAGTGGTCCACAGAAACTGAGTGATGAGATGGTAAAACCAACTTCTTCTTCCCCTGTGGCTTCTGAGCCCCAACCAGAACCCCATCTCTGTACTCCTCACTCATTTGGTTGTTTTGGTCTATTTCTTCCATAGAAATCACCACCCAATGCAAGCCACCCTCCTAAAATCAAAGTCAAGAGCTCACCTCTGATTGAGAAGCTTCAGGTAAGTGCAGAATTTTCATTACCCACTGCCACCTCTTCTCTAACATTTGAATATCTCTAGGGTCCTAGGAGTAGCCTCATCTGTGCCACTTGGATAGTTGGCTTCTGATAACCACCTAATGACCAAACCATCCCAAAGGATAAAGATTTCACAGCCTTCTACCTATTGGCAAAGGACTAAGATAAGGACTATATCAAACATGACCTCATGTTGTACACCTAATAATTCTTGGTAGCTGATAGATAAGAGGATGCATCAAGGAATTAATGGGAAAAGGACCTTATCATTGCAAGAAGCTACCCAAGAAGAACCAAGTCCTCTTCCCCACAGCCTGAATGCAGCCACACACCATTCCCTTATATAGGGCTGAAATGTAACCAACACACATTGCCCTAGTATGGCCAAATTCGTTTTCTGGAATTTCTCCCCGTCATTTTGTGTGTCCAGAGCCCTCAGCCACTGTGTGCACGGTTGGGCTGCCTTTCCCAGAAGTATTAATGAAGTGTAAGACACTGAGCCTGAGCTCACAATCTCCTGGGGGTGGCAGATATTCACACCTGATACAATAAAAGAGAGTAAATATCAGAGATGTAAATTGTGTGTGACTGCTCTAGACCAAAGGTCTTTCAACCTCAGCACTATTGACATTTTGGCCTGGATAACTCCTTGTGGGAGACAGGCCTGTGTATTGTAGGATGTTTAACAGCATCTAGATACCATGTACCTCCTCAAGTTGTGACAATCAAAAATGTCTCCAGATACTGCCAAATGTTCCCAAATGCCCAAAGTAGCTGAGAACCACTGCTCTAGGATTTTAGAACAAGAAGAGAAAAGTGTTGGTAGGAGTCATTAATGAATGCTTCCTGAAGCATCTACACCCTGAGCTGGTTCTTAAAGGATGGGTAGCTGGAAAGGAGTGAAGAAGGTTCTCCTGGCGTGGGAAATGGTGTGAGCTGAAGCACAGAGGAGGGGTAGACATGCTGAGTCCAGATGGTGCCTGCAGGACAGGCTGCTTTCACTGCTGCCCCTGTGCAGCTCCACCCGGAGAACCAGCAGGCACTCAGGCCCAGCTAAGAGAATTGGATCATCAGCTTCATTCTTCAGCTGTTGAGGGAAGTGGGGCGAGGTGGATGTCAAGGCAAATGAGTGGCCTCTGAAGGTCTCACTGTGGGAGAGTCCAGGATTTGCTTCCCAGCCTGCTTTTACGGAAAGAAAAGCATCTCTGATTGCTGGCCATTAGCCTACCCTGTGGAGAGGTGGGGAGGATTCCACAGTGCCTCCCCTGAAGCTTACTTCATACTGAGAAACCTTGATTCCACCCAGCTTCAGGGAGGGAGTGCGGCTGCCTGTCACTCAAGGAGGTTGCATTCATGTCATGTATATAACAGGGATCTCAGAAGGGATCCTGGAACCCCATCATTCCTCCTAGCAGCCTACTGAGGGAAGCAGCCCAGGACCCCTATCTCTGTCTCCCTGCAGCCCCCCACAGCCCTTATCCAAGCACCATAAATTAGTGCCCACTTTATCTGTGCCCTGAAGTCTGTCTCATACCCTTTTCTAGTCATTAATGAGCCTCTTTAAGGGACACGGCAGCTTGAGAATGAGATTTTGATCTCTAATTATTTAAACTCATTCTAAGAATGTCAGTGACATTATGACAATTTGGCCAAATCCCATAGGAAACTATTGGTGTGTGTGTGTGGCGGGGGGTAATATGTCTGGGGCAAAGAACTAAGAAATGCATCATCAGCTAGATTTTTCTTCTAAATACTCTACTGGATGAGTTATGAGCTATGATATTTTTCTTTTCTAAAGCAGTCCATTATATAAAGTTCCAGTTTTCTGCTGATCACTAAGATCTATTTTGTAAGCATTATATGGAGGGAATGGGAATTGGGAGTTTAAGCCCCCTCTGTCAGGAAGCCCTGTGAGCCGTCCCAGCACATCAGCTCCCATAGCATTTGTGGTCCAAACTCTCCCCCTTGTACTCACCATATGCTGCTTTTATTTATTTTTTTTTAATAATTTATTTTATTTTATGTTGTTGTTGAAAATATACACCACAGAACATACACCAATTTACCAATGTCTACAGGTCCAATTCAGTGACACTGATTACACTCATCAAGTTGTACAACCATTCTCACCTCCTTTTCCGAATTGTTCCTTCTCCATCAACATAAGCCCACTAGCCTCTAAGCTTCCTATCTGATCTTTTGAGTTTCTATTGTCAATTTGATCTCAACCACATGCTGCTTTTTAACGTGGCTTGGGCTCACAATGTTGCTATTTTTGTTTTAATTTTTACCATGACTTAGTCTTGTCTTCACAACTACATTACAAATTTTTTCTTAAAATAATATTACTCATACCTCCCTAAATATGTGTAATTGTTTATAGTCTGCAAAGCCTAGAGAACAGATGGGAATTCTACAGCTAATAGAATTCCTTGGTTGGTAGGAAGGTGGTACCAGGGGAAGTCTGGAAGGACACAGTATGAGTCAGGTTACTGGCAGGAGAGAGTAAACAGGAGCCAGACTGTAAAACAGTTTGGACATAGGGCTAAAAAGTTTGGACAGGGTTATTAGAGTCACTGAAGGTCACACAGCTAGTTAGTGAAAGATTTGGAGTCGGGTCTGTCAGCATGGAGAGCCCTTGAAACAACCTTTCATTGTACCATCTGCCCCTCAAGTCCTGTCCCTTCTCTGAGTCTTTATTGCCTCATTCCAGGTCTGGCACTACCACAGGGTCTGGAGGCTCAGGATGTACAGCCACACACCCCACCAGTTGCCATCGAGTCAACTGTGACTCATGGTGATCCATGTGTGTCAGAGTAGAACTGTGCTCCATAGCTTTTCAGTGGCTGATCTTTCAGACGCAGATTGCCAGGCTTTTCCTCCAAGGTACCTCTGGATAGGCTCAAACCATCAACCTTTAGGTTAGTAGCCAAGCACACTAACCCTTTGCACCACTCAGGGACTCCTCAAGCTGTACCCATTCACCACCCACTGCCATCGAGTCAATTTTGACTCATAGTGACCTTATAGGGCAGAGCAGAACTGCCCAATAGGGTTTCCATGGCTATAAATCTTCATGGAAGCAGACTGCCTCACCTTTCTCCTGCGTAGTAGCTGGAGGGTTTGAACCTCCAACCTTTGGTTAGCAGCCAAATACTTTAACCACGGTGCTACCAGAGCTCCTTAAAACTATTAAAAAAAAAAAACTCACTGCCATGGAGTCGGATCCAATTCATAGCGACACCTCCTTGGGTTTCCGAGGCAGTATCACTATGCAAGTAGATTGCCCAACCTTCCTTCCAAGGAGTGGCTGGTGGGTTTGAACCTCCAGCCTTCTGGTTAGTAATCAAATGCCTTAAGAACCATGCCATCAGAGCTCCTTAAAACTATATGGTGACTTGAAAACACAGAGGGCCAGAGGAGGAGCAGTGCCCCTAGATGGTGCTGTAGAAGCTCTGGAACCCTTATGTATAATCCTCCCAAAGACTGCCTTCATGCACCACCACCTTCTCCATGGTAACAAGGTGGGTCTGGGACCACCCACATCCCCTCTCACCAAACTCATAATTCCCTTTGGCTTTGGTTACCTTTGCATAATTATTCCCTTTGGTTCCCCTTATAGTTCATTTTAATTTGGTTTCTCCTGTACTATGATGCCCCAAGTGGTAGCACACACTGTGATTCATTCTGGTGCCTCTCTCAGCCTATTGTGTCCCCCACTCTAGCTGACTACCAAGAAAGAGCATAGTGCCTTGAGGCTTGAGGGACAAGAGCTCTGGCTTGAGCCCCAGGGCAGATTCCTTAGCCACTTTCCTAATTTGTGCAATGAAAACAATGCTGAACACTCAAGTTTATTAGAGAGGAAAAATCAGCATGTGTCCAGCAAATAGTAGACTTTCAGTAAGCAGCACCTATTATTGACTCTACTACAAGAAACTATAAGAGAACTGCATAAATAGAACATACTATGCTCATGGATAGGAAAGTTGAACATTGTGAAAATGTCAATGCTACCCAAAGCAGTCTATATATTCAATGCAATTCTGATCCAGATTCCATCAGCATTCCTTAAGGACATGGAAAAACCTATCACTAATTTTATATGGAAAGGAAAGACATCGGATAAGCAAACCACTACTGAAGAAGAACAAATTAGGAGGCCTTACATTCCTCAATCTCACACCCATGGTAATCAAAACAGCTTGGTATTGGTACAATGACAGACACATAGATCAGTGGAACAGAATTGAGAATCCAGAAATAGGTCCATTCACCCATGATCAGCTGATCTTTGACAAAGAGCCGAAACCCATTAAATGGGGAAGAGATAGCCTATTTAACAAGTGGTGCTGGCAAAACTGCATATCCATTTGCAGAAAAATGAAACAAAGCCCATATCTCACACCATACACAAAAACAAACTCAAGATGGATCAAAGACCTAAATGTAAAACCTAAAAGTATAATATCCGTCAAAGAAAAAATATGGGCAAAATTAGGGGCCCTAATTTAGGGCATAAATAGACTATCAAACATAACCCAAAATGCACAAGCCGTAGAAGATAAATTAGATGACTGGGACCTTTTTAAAATTAAATTCTATGTGCATCAAAAAACTTCTCCCAAAGAGTAAAAACAAAACCTACAGATTGGGAGAAAATGTTTGACAATCACATATCCAACAAGGGATTTCTCTCTAAAACTTATTTAAAAAAAAAAAAAAAAAAACCTTAAACATTTCAACATCAAAAAGACAAACAATCTAATTCAAAAATGGGCAAAGGACATGGACAGACACTTCACCAAAGAAGATATTCAGGCAGCCAACAAACAGGTGAAGAAATGCCCACAATAATTAGCTATTAGAGAGATGCAAATTGAAACAGCAAAGAGATATCATCTCACCCCAGCAATAAAAGCAAAGTTTAACACGATAGAAAACAATAAATGCTGGTGAGGGTGAGAAGAGATTGGAACTCTCATATACTGCTGGTAGGACTATAAAATGATATAACCACTGTGGAAAATGGTATGGCACTTCCTTAAAAAGTTGGAGTTAGAAATACCATATGATTCAGCAATTACACTACAAGGTATATATCCCAAAGAAGTAAGTGCCAGGACATGAACAGATATATGTGTACTCATGTTCATTGCAGCACTATTCACAGTAGAAAAGAGATAGAAACAACCTAAGTGTGCATCAATGGATAAATGGATAAACAAACTATGGTACGCACACACAATGGAATACTATGCAACGTTAGAGAATAGTGAATAGGTGAAACACTGTGTAATAAGGATAAACATGGAGAACATTATGCTAAGTGAAATAAGTCAATCACAGAAGAATAAATATTTTATGAGTCTACTATTATAAAAAGTCAAGGAAAGGCTTATACATGGAAGGAAACTTTCTTTGTTGGTTACCAGGAATGGGAGGGGAAGGGAGGAAAAATTGCTAGCTTAGAGACAGGTACTGATTTGGGTGAAGGGAAAGGCAATATACCAAAAGCAGGTAACTTACACAATAAGGAAAAGGAAGATATGGAGGGGTGCACAAGAGATACAAATAACAAAGATATGCTGTTACATACCCAATACTGCATTATCAGTAATTACAAACATTAATCTTTGGGTAGATCAATATATAGGTAGACAAGCAAAATGGTTAGGTATGGGTAGGCAAATAGGTATATACCCATGACCATATATAGGTTATATATTATCTAATATTTCTACATATGTATTTGTATATGCTACAAAAATATCCATATATAATAGAGCTAACAGGAGGCAAGCTATGATAACTTCTTAGCCATAAACATACACCATGAGGGAGTGAGTGGCTGGGACCATGGGCTTTGGACCATGGTCACAGGGTACATCAAGCTCAAGTAGCATAACATACTACACAAAAACATTGTTCTACATCCTACTTTGGTGAGTAGTGACTGAGGTCTTAAAAGCCTGTGAGCACAAATGGAAATATGCACATCCATGTTCATCACAGCACTATTTAAAAAAGACATGGAAACAACCTAAGTGCTCATTAACGGAGATAGATAACCAAACTATGGTACACAATGGAATTCTATGCAACAGTAAAGAATAATATAGAATCTGGCTAACACCTCATAATATGGATGAACTTGGAGGACATTATGCTGAGTGAAGTAAGTCAATCGCAGAAGGACAAATATTGTATTAATCCACTATTGGAAAAAGTCAAGAAAAAGTTTATATATGGAAGGAAAATTTCTTTATTGGTCACAAGGGATGGGAGGAGAGGGGAGGAAAAATTCCTAGATAGGTTAAAAAATATATATATACATACATACATACATATGTGTGTATGTATGTATAAATAAATATAAATATATATACACACACACATCAAAGATTGTTAGTGGTTACCAAGGGTGGGAGGGAGGGAGAAAGGGGAAGGTTTTGTTTGGGGGACATTGATTTTATACTAATGGTGGTAGAGTATTTTGGAAAAGATAGCAGTAATGGTGGCACAGCATGAAAAATGTCATCACTGTTCCTGAGCTGTAAATGTGGAAGTTGTTATGTTGGTGAATGTTTTGGTGTATATGTTTTCACCGCAATAAAAATAAATAAATTTTAAAAAGCTTGTGAGCAGCCATCTAAGATGCAACAATTGGTCTTTCCTCCTCTGGAACAAATAAGAATGAAAAAAATCAAAGACTTATAGCAGCAATTAGTCCAAGTGACTAGAGGACCACAGGAACCTCAGCCTATACAATCCTGAAACCAGAAGAACTAGATGGTGGCTGGCTACAACCACCAACCACTTAGAGAGGAATCAAAATTGGAGATCCTGGATAGAGTGGGAGAAAAATGTGGAACAAACCTCAAAAAAAAAAAAAAGGAACCAGGTTTGCTGGTCTGATAGAGCCCGATGGAACCAGTGAGGCTATGGCCCCTAGCTGCCTTTTAGGTCTAGAATTGA